TAAATATCAACTAAGTCTATTAAAGTATATGATGAACTGAGGTATCATGAAGAGTTCCAGTACTGGGCCAGAAATCAGGAAACATGGGCTTCTGGTTTCTCATCATTAGATTGAAGGAGTTGGATTTACAATCCCCCAGGATCCCTTGTGGGCTCCATGGGTTTGGAGTAACCGGTCATAACAAAATAAGAGGGACATAATCGGGTCACTTTCAAACCAAAAAATAAAATGAGAAATTAGAGAAATAAATTGGCTACTTCTGCCTAAATGACTGTTTTTTTAAAAATAAGCCACATGAGACTGTCCAGTGCAGTGAGTAGAGGCTCCAAAAATGAGACTGAAAACAGAGAAGATAGATTTCTGGTGATAGAGGTGGCAATAAGGAAGACAGATAACATGGCTGCGAATGAGACAATATGCATGAAGCAAAGAGCACCTCCGTGATCTTCTCTTTTAGGAAAGAGGTTTTATCTAAGTCCAGCAGTGGAAAGGCCCAAAGAGGAAAAGAAGGTATGGATAAATCAATAGAGGAAAGGGCTCAAAGACATAAGGTTAACAGGCCCAGTGCAGCACAACTAAGGCCTGGAAGAAGCAGGCGCACAGCCGCAGGGCAGTAACAGGAGGACCTCAGCCCAAGGGAAGAAGCCGAAAGAGAGAACTGAAGGGAGGGGAAGGGAAAATAAATTATTATTGTTGTTGTTGTTGTTATGATTATTCAGTATCTTCTTTGCACCAAGATATTTTACATTTACCTCTGAGAGTATGGTGCTTCTATTTAGAGGAGAATATGAGAATTTCTAATGGGTATACCCTTAAGAAAAATATGAAAAGTTATCTGAAGATAATTTCCCTGCATCTAGAAGTTATTTAAAGGAGATTTTAGTTGCATCTCAGGGAAAAGAGAACAGAATAGCACTAAGTAAAATCACTTCTGAAGCCAAATGATAGCAATCAATATGATACAGTGTAAGACGAAAGTCCATGTATTTGTATATATGTGCTAACAGTTTGGATTGTGATGAGAAAAGATTAAGAAGAAAAAAGAGAAAAGCAAGAAGCAAGTCAATAACAAATAACAATACACTTGGATAATACTGGGATGGCTACACTGGATTTACAGAAATGTGGTCTCAGTTGAACTTCAAAGCTGCCTTGTGATGGAAGATGGCATCTTTCCTGATAATGTCAAAATCCATTTCTCAAAAGTTGAAAAACTGGCAGTGGCACATAAAGGATGAGCAAATTCCATTAGCAATGGGGATACATTTAAAATATAGGACATGCCTTTAAAATACTAAAAAATTTTCTTGTTGTACAACTTACTCATTATAGTAAAAAATTAGAAAATACTGAAAAGGGTAAATTCACCACCCTTACTATGGGAATTTCCAAAAATGTATAAAAGCAGAGAGTGAGTATAATGAATCCCCTTGGACCCATCACCCATGTTTAACAATTGTCAGCCTTCTGTCAATTTGTCATCTCTTGTCCCACCCCATCCTGACATACACAGTTTGACAGGTGGTACTGGAATATTTTAAATCGAATTTTACCTATCACAACACTTCACCAGAAAATACCTCAGTGTGCATTTCTAACAGACAGGCTTTAAAAACCTATAACCATGATGCCATTACACACACATACAAAATTAACTATTCCTTAATATAATTTCCCTCACTTTCTCAAAAATTGTGTTTTAACAGTTGTCTATTTGTTTTTTGCATATGAGGATACTGAGGAGGATTTTGTGGCATACCAAATTTTTAAGTCTATAATCACTTTTCCACCACTTATTTTTATGATATTTATTGTTGAAGAAATTAGGTCCACAGATCTAAAGACTCCATTCTGGATTTGGTTGATTGCTTCCTTTGTGGGGTCATTTGACTCATTCTGTTCCTCTTTCCTTCAAATTTTTTTGCAATTTGGTAGTTAGATCTAGACCTTGGTGTACAAATTTATTACACACACATTATTTCTATAGAAATAAGATGTACTCACTCGAGTTTTTGTAACTTGCTTTTAAACTTCACATATCACATATATGAGAAAGGTAACACTGAAAAGGAAACCATCCATCCCTTTTAACTTTTAAATTTTTGGAGAATAATAAAATAATTTAAAGTATGACAAAATGTCTAAGAGAAAAAAATTAAGCCAAAAATAAGAAAACAGTCAAATTTCAAAATTACAGAATGCAGCTGAATGAGCTAACAAATAGAGAAAACGAAAGGCAAAGAGTGACAATCAGAGTAATGGAGGTTAAATGGGAAAAGAGGACATACAAAGAAGAAAAGAAGCACTACCTTGAGACTAGAAAATGCTACAGCTGTGAGGGTCCTGTGGTAGCATCTGCTGTTTTGGCTGCCAAACATACTCCTGCTGATTGTTGTTCCAAAGCCTTTTCACATCCGTTTCTCACCTAGGGAGATCACGAAACTCCCTAGCTTTGTGAACTAAGTTAAACTGAGCTACAGAAGGAAGGTATGCGAACTCCTGCTTCTCAGTCTCTCTGACCCATCCTGGATTCAGACATTCTTGGGTTAGGTATACCAACTTTTCTTTAGATTCTCAGTGATGCCTGAATGACCTTTCAAAAATTCTTTTATTCTCCCTTCAGGGCAAATGAAGCTGTATATGCATTGGTCTCTGGGCTCTGCAGTTTTTCTCCTATAGATTAATTCCAGTAAAAGGGATAGGGGCAACTCAGAATTATAAATGGTCATTCTGGCAGTGGCGGGTGGGGCAAGATAGTGGGTGTTCTAATGGTTTAGAGGAAGGTTCTTCTGTCCAAAAATAACTCAAACTAACAGATTCACAATCCACTTTTACTTATTTTCTAATGTCTATCACTTAGCATGTCTGGTGCCAATATGTCATTCTGGCTTTTTTCTCAAAGACTGCCTTCATTGTCACTCATTTCCTTGCCATTGTATGTCTTGCCCTTGTTTGCCATGTAGACCATTAAGCACATCACATGGAAGTTTTCCTCATGTATATGTCACCATTCGGCAGAGCACTTACTGAATTCGAGTTACATAGGACTGACTCGAGAAAGAGGTTTGCTGACCTCCTTACTGCAAAATAGGAAGCAAAAGGTGTATAATGCCATTAATCTCACTCCAGCATCCATTGTGCCACCTCTCACTTGGGAGAAAACAGGAGTTATTTGGACATACATTTGGTAACAATGGAGTCACTGGGGACAGCCTAGAGGAATGTGTTATTTTTTTATTTTCATACTTATTTGATATATTTTCTTTCTTTAGTTATCTCCAGTCTTACACTAGAACTAAAGGATTCTTAACTCAGGTAGCACACAAAGAAATACTTTTGCACAGAAATAGGTGAGAGTATTACGTATCATCTTGATCACTATCTTCTGTGTATCAGTCTGAGGCTGATTAGAAACTGGCTCTGGTTAAATTAAGTTAAAAAAAAAAGTCTTTAAAAGGAAGATGTGCATAGCCCACACAGTAGAAGGGAAAACAGGATAACCAGGGGAAAAATAGAACTATGGCAGCTTTTGGCATCTTAGTCAGAAATTTAGAGACAGTTTCTTTTGAGTGCTCACAACTCAACTTCAAGAACACGATAGCATTTTATTCAGGATTCAGATTCCCAGGAGGGAAAGAATCTTCGTTTATTTGCTACCTGTTTGTTAGGAAGGAGTAGGCCACTGTGATTTACAATCAAAGACCAGTGTGCTATTACAAAAACGAGGAGAAAGGGCTGCTGGGACGACACAACCGATATTCACCCTACTCACTACTAGTGGATCTGCAGAGAGAGAAACTGAGGAGGAAGGGGCAGGGTCATTAGCTATATATGCTGCTTCTTAATTATCTTTAGAAACAGAGCCTAAATGTGGTAAAAGTTAAAAGATGAAACTAAGAATATGCACATAAGACCTGTGTCTTGTCACAGCAAGTATAAACAGATATGATGGCAAATGTACAGAAGGGGCCAATATTTTAAGGAGGTTATGAATTTCAAATAAGAACCCATTAGAGAAGATGCCATCTTAAATTTCCTGAAGAAATGGATGTAGAGAAGTCCTATATAATCCTTTGAAAACGACATGTCAAGAAATTAACAAATAAAAATCAATGAAGGAAACCAGAAAAATAAAATATGAGGTATTAAAATGTATCATTAGAAGTCAGATCAGTAAAACTAGATTAGAAATGTAATTAAATTTATTGAAGTGGAGGAGAATTCTTATATCATTTGTTGCTGTGGGAAGGCAGCCTCGTTTTTTTCTTTTTAACCTAAATGTCACTATCTTCACCCCAAATTTGATATGATTATTTAATATAGTTCAGATCAATGCAAAGACATGTGTATTAGTTTCCTACTTTTGCTGTAACAAATTGTCACAAACTTATTGGCACAAAACACATACATTTATTACCGTACAGTTCTGTAGACCAGAAGTTTGACAAGGATCTTACTGGGCAAAAATCACAGTGTTGGCAGGGCTGCATTGCTTTCTGGAGGCTCTGGGGGAGAAGCCTTTCTCAGGTTTTAGAGGCCGCTTATATTCTTTGGCTCAAAATCAGAAGTGGCCACTCGAGCCCTTCTATGTCTCATTTCTCTGACCTTCTGTCATTACATCCTTCTCAGAGTGAAGCTGAGAAAGATTCTCTACCTTTAAGAAGTCATGTGATTATACAGGGGCCACTGGGATGATTTCCTTATTTTAAGATCAGCTGATTAGCAATCTTAATTCCATTTGCAACCTTAATTCCCTTTTACATATTTACAGGTTCCAGAGACCAGGACCTGGACATCTTTGGGAGGCCATCATTCTGCCTGCCACAACATGGAACAAGAATAGAAGGTAGAATTTTTTTAAGAAGCTGGGATATAATTGTTAATATTTACAGATAGTAAGATGATACTATAGCCTATGAGGAGTATGATGGTATATATATTTTTTCCACTTTCTAAATTTTTCTGTCATAAGTATTATCTTTATTAAAGAAAAATAATGAATCAGATAATTTGGTTGATATGCCAATCTTCTGTGCAGTACCACAGTTAATGGCATGTTAGAGTTCTAATGGCAGTTTCTGTTAATGAAAAATAATGAACCTTGTATTCAAAATAGTAAAATTATTAGGTACATATCTATAAAAAAGGAACTTTACTGACAAACAAAATAATATTTGAAAAAGAGAAGCATACTAAGTCCAGAGACTATAAATTCAATCATTTCAGAATTAATTTAGAAGTTCAATGTTATTTTGATAAAGTTACAATGGGGGACATTTTTAACATAATATTCTTTTGGAACTGAACCATGTTTTAACAAAATGCATTTAGTAGAATAAACAGTCTAAACAATTTAGACTATTTTGAAAAAAGAAGTACATGATGGGAAAGGATTTTTCCTATCAGATATAAAGTGTATTTTGAAGCTGCAATGCATACAACTGAAGTAGTAGTATGTAAAAAACAAAGAAATGGAATAAATATGTCTGAAATAGGTCATACCTGGAGCAGTCTTCCGAATCAAATACTACTTGTATATGTACAATACAGTACCTGTTTGAAGAGTGAAGGCAAATAAATATTTGTATTGGGTACTTGCCAAGGAGATCCAAGGTTTGATAGAGAGGAGAAACCCCAGAGTTCATTCAACTTGTTAAAAATTAAACACTTGACAGAAATTTATTCCTTCTTACTCAACTGTCATGCCTTTTAAAAATGTTGTCTCAAACACTGAAAGAAATTTTTATTATTGAAAGTTGTCAGCTTTAGATGAAGTCTAACCACGCATGGATATTTATTTCATTATGTCTCAAAGGATTTTGAGTTTTTAAAGATACTTTTTTCTTATAATTTATATGCTACCAAAACAACATCTGGCATTTAGGAAATCTTATTATAAAACTCCAAATATCCAAGAAAATCATTCAAATTCTACAACTTTTATTTGATATCTGTTAAAGCTCAACCAGCCAGTCTGCCACACTCAAACCTACAGTTCAACAAAATCATACTTACTGACTTGCAAACATGGTAGCACACTGCAGAGGAAACACGGATGGTGCCCTCTCCATGGGGGAGGAGGGCTCCAGCTTTGGTGAGGTCTAGATTCCTGCTGAAGGATTCTGGGGGAGCTCTCAGGGAACAGAGACCAGTTCTGGGTTGGGCTCTTTTTCTGCAGCAAGATTAGGAGAAGCAGGGATTAACTAAGGATTGGGTGCTATCATGAGGCAAGGGTGGTTGAGTAATTGAGTATTCCCAGTAATGGATAGGTGCGGATAGCAAAGCAGGGCTGGAGCCATCATTGGTAACAAAGCAATGGTCACACAAAGAGGGGGCCATGATGGCATTTAATAGCTGCACGACCTTGGAAGAAACCATGTTTCTTATTAACTTTGCCACTGGCTTTATCTGTGTCTGTTCTCCAACCTGATTAATGGCAGGACTGTTTTACTCTTTTTCAGTCCAAGCTGATTTTCAGTCCTTCACTCCCAGACAGATTTTACTCTTTCACATCTACAGAACCAACTCCAGTTTAATTTTCCTGTTACAGCTTCTGAAAATAGCTGTATCTGTTGATAACCAACTTTATTTAAGAAATCAACAGAAAAATAGTGTGAATTTATGTGGATGTTATTCAAAATTATGCTGTGAAGACATGGATTAACGACTAGGACAATTTAGTGTAAGACTATTTTATTTTATTTTATTTTTAATTTTGATTTATTTATTTTTTTTTACTTCAGAGGTTTTATTTTTTAATTTGAAGTATAGTCAGTTTACAATGTTGTGTCAATTTCTGGTGTACAGCATAATGTTTTGGCCATATATATATGTACATATATTCCTTTTCATTTTTTTTTGTTGTAGTTACTGCAAGATACTGAATATAGTTTCCTAGTGTAAGACTATTTTAGAGTTTGGTTTTGAGTTTCAATCTAAAGGAAAGAGAAATAAAGACACTGAAGACAAAGCCTAACAGTTGATCAGATATGCAGCCCGGGTATCCACCCGAGTCGAATCTGGGCCATGGGTGGGAGGGAGAGAGAAGAAATCCTTTAAAAGTGTGAAGAACTGAGCACATAGTATCAGGTCCTTCTTTCATTACCTTCTTTACGTAGCTCTTTGTCAGACTAACACTGATATTTCAGTCCCCACTTTCCAAATACTTTGATGTCCTTCCTTCCCTTAGTCTTAAGACCTTTGGAAAGGCGGTCCTTCTAGTAAGTAATAGATTCAGAGGAAGCAACAAACTCACCAGCTTTGTCCTGCTCTCCTGTGCCCCATCCTTCCTCCCTGGCCTCCCTCTCCCAACCCTCCATCCTTCCGTCTTCCTTACTCTTTGTATATTCCCACTTATTTTCCCCTCTTCCCTCTCCCACGAAGAAAGACCAATTGGATAATAGATTCACACAAAGAAGTATCAAGGAGTGATTATACTATTTAAGAAAGAAATAGACTAGTGGAAGAACATCTTTAAGGGGCTGCTGAAATTGGAACTAGGATAATGGAGAATTGGCCTGTGAAAGAGTTTATGCAACTATTAGAAAAAGTCAACAAAAAAACCCCTAGGTAAGGAAAAAAGCATTTGCCTAAGAGAAGGGTATAGAGAATGAGCAAAACAAGCTCTAAATGTGCATAAACTAAAATTAAGGGGTAGAAAATTGGGATGGAGAAGAGTGCACTCATTATATTGACAAAGAATCTTATTAAATGTAAAGGGAAACAACTACAATTATTCCTTGGGAAATGCGGGCTCTCTGGGATATCAGCATTTTGAAAGCATTGTTATGTACAAGGTTCGGTAGACAAATGATTCTGAAATGTGAATTACATGCTAGAAAATAGAACGGAAAAGGCAGTGACAATTTGAGTCACCAGTCTTTATAACGTTTTGCTATTTAATATTTTTGTCAGTTTAGTGGTGAAAAGAAAGCCATGAAAGTTGAATAAAATCAGTTTGAAAAATGTGCAGTCACCTTAAGTATGTCTTTGTTAGACATTATTAATGTTTGTGATTTCTAGCAGTAACTTAAAGGGAAATCTATATTTACTATTGTGAAATACATTTTTAAACATTGTTTTCCTATTGAGGAGAAGGGCAGGAAAAGAGAGGGCTGACTAACTGAAATTGTAAAAAAAAAACCAGCAAAAACTTGCCTAAGTCCCTATAGATTATAGTGGAAATTTAGGGATTTGCCTTCAAGCTTGGATAGATACAAACTGAAAATGATGTTAAAGAAATAAGAATATTATTAGCTAATTTGTGACTTATATGTATATAGGTAATATATTGCACCCAAGAAAAAAAAAAGTTGAAACATTATGGCTCAATATGATATTTTTGTTTAATATCAAAGGAATGTAATTAAAATCAATGAATTATAGAGAAGAATGTTGACTTAGAAAAATATTTTTTAAAGAATTGAAAGAGTCAGAGCATGAAGAAATATTATTTAATTGCCATAAAGTGCAAATGTCTCCATTAAACAGAAAAAAACTTTGCTAACCTTTTCTGACATAAATGGGAAAACTCTTTTTTAGATATTTACAAGTGAAATACAAACAACCTGATCTTTGAAAAAATGATTGACTGGAGTTAGTCTGTATGAAATTAGGCGTATGAGACTGTTGATATTAAATTATACTTGACTCATGAAAATGGTAATAAAATGTGATTCAAATTAGTACACAATTTGTAAGTATTTATAGAGTGCTAAATGCATATTGAATGATGTGTGATTTTGCCTTAAAGGAGGAACAATTTTCATGGATTTTTTTTTAATCACTCTTACAAAGTTAATCATAAAAGTAAAACAACATTGACTAATTTCATAAAACAGTATAGAAGAGTAACCATGGCAGGAATTAAACGGAACATAGTTCTTCCTGATGGCTTTGGAACACGTTTTCCCTTGGGTATTACCATTTTCTTGTCTGTGACAGAAGCCTTAGGTAGTCAGTCACAAAACGTTTCACAACTTTCCTGGTTTGTTATAAGGTTAATCTCTTTATTGGTAAGTAATTTCTGATTTGGATTTTAATATTAATGATCTCTTTGGAAAATGTGTCTCTGAAAAATTATTTGGAGAATGAAAACATTCTGTTTTCATAAATATCTGAAATGAGCAGTCATAGTGGCATCTCGGGGGAAGTTTGAGATCTTTTTCTCTAAAGCAGCCAAACAGCTTTTCAGCAGCATGTCCTGGGGGCTGTACTGAGGAACTGAAATTTCCCTTGAGAATGGAATAAGGGTAAAGACGGGATTTTTATTTTAGCTTAGGAAGCAACAAAAGTTCCTTCTGAAGTTTCGAGAATTCAACTTAAATTAAAAGTCAGCCACTTCTACCCTAAACAATGCCAAAGGTTTGCTAAAGGGAGAACTAGTATGTTTCATCAGGAGGTAAACTTTGAAATAAAGCAAAATTTAAAAAAGTACTCTTTTCCCTCATTCTCCCCAAATTATCATTGTCATCACAAACACCCAGGAGGTCTTCCTTTTCTTTTCTTTTTTTAAAAATTCTTTTCTATGTGTTCATATCATTTAATGTACCGTAGTGAGGCTTTTTTTTTACCCTTGTTTGTACTTTCCAAACTTCATTCTATCGCAAAAATTAGCCAAAAGAAAAAAAAGGAATAACATGGACAAAACTCATCATTCATAAATAATCACAGTGATCAAAATCATTTTTTGTTTGAATTGTACATTGGAGTTTTTCAAGCCCTTAGCTGTATGATTGTCTCACTTTACAAAATCCATTGAGATATATATGGCACTTTGCTTATTATCCTTTTGACTGTGAAGAAACTGAGGCCCAGCTTGGTTAGTGATACGTTCAAGATAAAAAGCAGTATTATGATGAGTGAGTTGCCTGTTGCCTAATCTCAAATTCAGAACCACAGCCAACCCCACAGCACTCCTGTGCCTGGTGCCCCAGTGGCAGGGGTTTAACTAGAAATTCTGGGCCTTTTACTAGTACATCCGAAAAGAACATGTTTACCTTGGAAAATTTAAGGGTCAGGTGGGGACAGAGTGGAGAAGACAATTAAGGCCTGCCTGGCTCTGCTCTTCTCCCC